ATGCAAGCCCTCTTGGATTTACGTGGATCGTCTGTCTCGAGGCCCGTGGAGAGAACCTCTCCTGTCTTGCAAAAGACAGAAAATCCTGGAAAACCCTTGTTTTACGGTTGGATGAATGGAACAAAAGTTCCCAGAGAAAGATGTTGAGCAAATTGTAATTTGGGGAAAAAACTTCTTTTTTTTTTTTTTTTTTTTTTTTTTACTGACTTGGTTTTGTGGCACCCCATTTGTCTGTCGCGACTGTCCATTGAAGACATTGAGGATATATAGCAGGTTTTCTCCTGATTGGGTTTGGAGTTGGCCTGATCTACCGCAGCGTTGGAGGGATGTCTACTAGCGCAGAAATTTAGTATGCAGCCAGCCTCAATGTTTTTTCAACAAACTGAATTTGTCCATTGTGAGAAAATAAAGTATCATCTCTCATCTCTCACCCAGGCGCCACTGGTTCAAGCAACAAAATGAGCTAGCTACATGGTTGCTACCCTTGTGGGAGCGTCCCCGGGTGGGCTCGAACCACCAACCTCTCGGTTAACAGCCGAGCGCGCTGGCCGATTGCGCCACAGAGACCTTCCGCTGCAAATGTCTAGTAGAGGGAAACAGACTTGTGTGACAGAGTGGTCTTGTTTCATGGGGGTATGGCTGTGACAGATTGGTGTTGTTTCATGGGGGTATAGCTCAGTGGTAGAGCATTTGACTGCAGATCAAGAGGTCTCTGGTTCAACTCCAGATGCCCCCTCAGTAGTCTCCCAAAGGCAGATTGAGAGACGCTTTTGCGTGGAAATACAGTCGCAGTAGTTGGGTTAGCTTCAAGCCTACATCGTGTCTTTGATGTGACCACCTTCGGTAGCTCAGTTGGTAGAGCGGAGGACTGTAGAATGTAAGGCTGGAATCCTTAGGTCGCTGATTCAAATCCGGCTCGAAGGACACTCCCTTTTGCGCAGGAGGACTGGCTGATACGTCGTTTGTTGGGAGCGAGCTCTCTGTGAGAGAAGAGCTGATAAAGGCGAGGTCTTGGACCCATGGTCCAAGTCTTGCCCAGATTTTGCATTCTTTACTGCGGCCAAAGACAGGCAAAGACAACGTAGCTATTTTTTGGGGTCCCTGTGTGCAGAGTAGAATGCTGCAAACACCAAATAACTCAGTAGAGTTAGTTGTCTCCTTTGTTGAACTCAAGAGTCAAGACCACAAGCTTTTTGGCAGCGGTGGGATTTGAACCCACGCCTCCGAGGAGACTGGATGCCTTAATCCAGCGCCTTAGACCACTCGGCCACACTACCGTATTGGCCGTGTTTGCAGAGCAAGGGATGACCAGATGCTACCCTCAGCTAGCACGCTACAGCCAGACAGAGGACCGGACCCACCTGACTACCACGGCTACCGGCAACCGGCCTCCTGCCAGGAAGCCCCCAGGGACCCGCTAAGTCACAACAGACAAGACTCTTACAGTGACCGCTCACAGTGCCCCAGGTACCCAGACTTCCCGGATGTAAGACCCGTACCGCCCACTAGCCGACAGGACTGCTAAGACTTTAGGAGACGTGACCCCTATAGCCCACCCCCCACCTGCCCTTGCGAGCGCCAAATGCATGGGCCAATACGAGGTCGAGACTACCCTGGACCAACAAACCGTGACTTTGACCTTATTGCCCGCCACATTAACCGCTTTGAACCCCAACCGGGAAACCTTGCAGACCCCCAGTCGTACCTCAGAGACATTGACTTCTACTCTAAACGTTTGCTCAATGCATCTCTAGAGGACAAAGTATTCTTAATTAAGCTTACGTCCAACAGGGAAGTTAATAACTTTATAGACAGACAGTCGCCCGCCACACGGCGAAACTACGACAATCTCTGTCAGGCCCTCCTTGACGAATACTCTGACTTTGGAACGTCTGGTACACTCACGGCAGCCCTAACCGTCAGACAGGCCTGTAACGAGCCGTCAGACGCTTACTATCATAGACTGAGACAGGCATACTTCGGTAACCAAAATTACCAAAATATGGAGGAGGACAAACACTTTAAAGCCCTGTTCATCCAAAACCTCCACCCCAGCCTCAGCCTTCTCCTAGGTGTGACTGCATGCCTTGTTACACAAAACATGCAGCAGCTGAGGACTCTGGTAGCCAGAGCCCAAAGTATTCACACAATGAGATCCCACAACAAACCACCGGAGGCGCCCTCAGTCTACAGTGTTGGTAAACATTCTAAACTAAAGAGCGCCCCCCGCCCACCAGCTGCGTAAAACAGAACGTAGGGCCAACCAGGGAAAGTCAAACTCCCACAGGCCAACGCCACGTAAAAACAGGCACACACAGGGCAGAAGCCAGCGCTATTCCACAAACAGCACTGGCCCCCACCCACATAGCGGGACTCAAAACAATGTCCCCAAACAACCCTCAGGTACATTTAAAAACCATGTAGGGGAAGACCATAATCAATCGGACAACCTCACCTGGGAAGAGGAACAGCTCCTCCAATTACTCACTCGTAAAACAAACGGTGAAACGACAGACAAAGCTGACTCCCTTACAGAAAATGATAGTCCGTACGACTCAGACGACCTTGACTACACAGAAACTGACGGTGCTGAGCCACTAAATCAGACTGTATTACAATCACAGGTCAACACGGACACTTGGGACCCTGACTGGCCAGAGGACAGTCAATACATTCCCCAAAAGGACGTCATGGTGGTACAGGTAAGTTCCTACACCGACGCTGGGGGGAAAACTCCCCCCACAGTCAGGTGCAAACCACCTGTCCAAACGTTAATTGGAAACTTGCGACTCAAAGGAGCAAACAGGAAACTCCACCTTCCGATGGCTCTCGAGGACCAATGGAAACAGGACGCTATGATGGATACGGCAGCAGACATCAGTCTGATATCCAGCGATCTCTTTGGTAAGTTACAAAAGCTCGCCAAAAAGTCTCACAAAGACCTAACCACACAGCCGTGCCACCTGGTAATACGCCCCTACTCGAACGTTAAAACTACACTAACCAAAATGGCGCTGATACATTTGTCGGTGGGGCCAATGAAATTGGTCCACCCAATATATGTCTCGCCAATCAATTCGATCCCCCTCCTACTCGGACCTGCTGAATCGCTTTGAGCCGCTCATAGACTTTCAGCACCTAAAAATCTGGGCACAGGTTCAAAAGCCCCTCCCCATGCCACGGCCGCCTGGCAACGCCCAGCCCTACGCCGCGGCAGGCCAGCCAATAACCGCCCCAAAACCAGACGTGACTAAACCAAACGCAGAAGCTAAAAGCTTCCCCATCACACCCAAAACAATCTCTACCAATGCTAATATCAAAACGCGATTACGTCATAACCTGCCATTTTACGCTTTAGAGGCACTCACTTCACAGCTGCTTGTGGTGCCTCAAAGCAGGGCCGGAGTGGGACAATTTTTTGGCCCGGAAATTCTGGGTCAGACCGGCCGTTCTGATAAAGTAGTCTATCAAAAAAAACTGAACTGCCTGCTGTTGTAATATCCATAACAACCAACAGGTGGCCTAAAATCAAGTTTTGTAAATTACCAGACTAGTACTAATCAAATTATTCTTTATTCACCCCTTTTAGACTTCTCAGTGTTAGTCACAAAATAACTCAATAATGCATTTGAATAAATCATGATATTTGAATATTCTGGTATCACAATATAAATTGTAGCAAATTTTAGACTGACTCTAGACTTATGTGGTTATAAAAAGCATGAATTTCACAAATTTTAGAACAATGTCAATTTTCATTCAAATAATTGTTATTCCCAAAGATTTGGCTATATTTTTTCATAATACATTGAATTGACTCGAAACCATTAAACTATTATCCTCCTTTCAAGACTAAACAAAAAAAAATCCATCCATCCATCCATTTTCTACCCTTTAATCCATTTCTGGGTCAGGGGGGTGAGCATAGCCTTGATCTTTCAGTGGGGGCTTTTGGGCAAAGTGGGGTTAAGTGTCTTGCCCAAGGACACAACGACAGCAGTCATCAGTGGGAGTCGGTGGAGAAGGTGCAGAGGTGGGAATTGAACCCACGACCTTCTGGGCTTAAGGCCAATGCTCTACCAACTGAGCTACTGTCGCCCCAAACAAACAAAAACAAAGATTAATGGAAATACTACACTAAGACAAAACCAAAATTAATCTTAACGTACTTTAATGTTGTCCTAGGGGAGCACTAAAAGCAAACTAAATGTTAACCTGTATCAAGACGAGAAAACACAAACTGCACACTATTTAAATCAAACAAACCCAAATTAACAATAGCAAAATGAAGCACATTAAAACATGAGTAAACTCTGTAGAAGTGCACTTGTTTCTGCAACTTTGTTTATGATAATTGTTATTATCCAATGACAAAGGATGTCTTTTCTGTAGATATGAGCATAATTGCTTCACATCTTTTGACACACACAAAATATTCAACTGTTACTTTCCTAAGAAGTTAAAAATGTAATTTATGCAATATACATTATACATTATGGAATAAATAAATTCATGGCCTCAGTGGCTTAGTCAAATTTGATTAAAAATACAATCTTCTTTTTGGTTTTTACTAGCCCATTCCTGAGGCTCTTCATTAATATGAATGAACAATTGTTGTATCTGAGGACCTAAGAAGCAATAAATGTAATTGACGGAGTGCTAATCATTTAGGGAATCATGTCGTCATGTTTTGCCACAGTGTTTTGCATGTTTTTTTGCTAGCTTACCGCGGACTGATGCCTCTTCATCGACGGAGCACTTTTTATAGAAAAAAACTACCAACTTTGCACATTTTGTTAGGGTTTATGTTTTGTTCCCCTCCTCTTTGTGTTTTTTTTCTCTGTGCAGAGCTGGTGGTTGACGGGGGCGTGGCTGGCACTGGCAGCAATTAGGCACACCTGGACATGACGAGGAGCCAGTCTACTAAGTCTCTGCTCGGTCCTCTCCACACTGTCAGATTATTCCGTCTCATCCGGTAGACGTCAGACCTGTGTTTTGGTTCCTGCTATCAGTTTTGAGATACTTACCTTTTCTCCTCCTGTGCCCAAGGTTGCCACCGCTGTGCTCTGGATTCTTTCTGCTCCGTCCTGCTGCCAGCCTGCCCCCGTCGCCTCAGCCTCTTGAGTTTTTGTTTATATTAAACTGTTTAACCTTCCCTGCTTCTGTCTCTGCTTTGGGGTTCCTACTCTGCAATCGTAACAGAATAATCTGACCAACATGGACCCCGCAGAGATTGAAGGACTTCGCTATTCACCTGGCAGCCAATCCTCCGCTCGCTCAGGCTCCACCTGCTCCTGCTCCTGTGGCTGCTTCTGCTCCTCCGGACCATCAACATGCCCTACCTCGCGAACCCTTCATTCCCACTCCTGCCAGGTATTCAGGTGAATTAGGGTTATGTGGACAGTTTCTACACCAGTGTAAGCTAGTCTTTGACCAACAACCCCTTACTTACTCCACTGATAGGGCTAGGGTTGCCTTTATGATGAGTTTACTCTCTGGTAAAGCTTCCGCATGGGCCGTAGCTTTAGTGAACAGTAGCTCCCCTGTCTGTAATACTATGGATACATTTACTGCTGAGATGAGAAGAGTGTTTGACCACCCATTACAAACAAAGGAGGCCAGTAGCCGGCTGCTTTCCCTACGCCAGGGTAGTGGTTCTGTTTCCTCATATTCTATTGATTTCCGCATTTTTGCTGCAGAGACTGGGTGGGATGAGAAAGCGTTGCAGGGAGTGTTTTTTAGGGGTTTAAGTGAGGAACTCAAGGACCAGCTAGCAGCTCGTGATGAGACTGCTACTTTGGAGGAAAATAATTTACCTAGCCATATGTTTAGACAATCGTCTAGCTGAAAGACGTAGGGAGAGAGCAGTTAGGAAGAGCATTCCCCCTCCCACTCTCTACTCCCATCAACCTCGTCAGCCAGCACCTGCCGTTCACCTGCCTACCGAATCATCACCAGCTGCTCCAACTCCTTCTCTGGTACCAAGTTCTGAGGAACCTATGCAGCTGGGAAGGATGAGACTCAGCCAACAAGAACGCCAGCGTCGCCTTCACCTCGGGCTCTGCATGTACTGCGGAAAGGCGGGACACGTCGTCGGTCACTGCCCTGCTTTGCCAAAAGACCAGGCTCGTCAGCCAGCGGAGGGACGCTGGTGAGCCACACCCCGACGGACCCCTCCTGCAGACGCATCCAGCTTAAAGGTACTGTGTCCTACGCTAAGAATTCTTTTCCCCTCGTTGCCCTAGTGGACTCAGGAGCAGATGACAACTTTATTGACTCCAGATTCGTCTCTCAATGTAGCATTCCATCTGATGTCCTTCCTGAGCCTAAAAAGGTCTATGCCCTTGATGGGAGACTGCTGGCTAGCGTTACGCATCGTACCACTCCGGTTTCATTGCTCCTATCGGGTAATCATCACGAGTCAATCTCGTTGTACATTATTAACTCTCCTTCCACTCCTCTGGTTTTAGGCCTTCCCTGGCTGAAACTACAGTAGATAGTATAGCCACCGCTATTGAGCAAGTGGTGAAAAGGTGGTACTGCACCTAAACTCCTAGGAGCGCTATTGAGCAAGTGGTGAAAGGTGTTACTGCACTGTATTTTCCAAGAGGTGTCACTTTGAATGTTTAATGAGTTGCCCTCTGTTGACCCCAGTGTGTGTGTGTGCTTCACAGTTGTCTAAAGTGATTTATTGAACAGAGCTTAGCGTAACACCTGCGTAGGGTTACACCATGTTTATTCTAAACGCGAGGAGAGAGAGACGCGAGGAGAGAGAGAACGCGAGGAACATTAACAAAAATTTTTAAACAAGTTGCAGAACTCTTTGAGCAGTTTTGAATCAGTGTTTTTCGAAAAGCACTACCTTTGCCGTATCTGTCAATGATCAACAGAAAACACAGTTACAAACTCCTCCCCCGCAGCCGGACTAACCGTAGTCCAGTGGTGTCTCCCAGGCTATATTAATTCTTTCTTTGTTTGAAAGTCCAATTGAGACAAAAAAAATCTTCATTCAAATCATCCATTTTCCAGCATAAGAAATAGCATTTTGGCTGAATGTTTGTTAGCAACTCTGGTATGAACTTTATGCTCACCTATCACCGACCCTAGCGGTGAGGCACAGAATACAGCGTCGCGCGTCCCTCACGCCAAGGGATCATTTTCCTTGTGTGTTCATCTACGATCACAAGACTTAAACAAATATAAATTGTACACACATACTGCAAATACACTAATGTGGGCTAAACACTAAGAGAGTTTAAAAAATTGTTGTTAAAGCAGGATATTTGAAAAAAACGGGATATATCACTGCACGAGCTGAGTTGCACTCAGACACACACCACACACACTGTGAGGGAGCAGTCTGGGGTGAAGGCACGCATGACTCTGCCTCACCTCGTCTCTTTGAAAAGGAATAACGGATTTCGGCGATCTTAGACTTCAGAATGATCAAAACTGGATGGAACACGTGCCGATTATACATTAAAAGCATAGGACAGTGATAATAATTTATTTTTTAAACTAAAATACTTATTAGTTTCTCAATTAATGATGGGCAGGTGAGCTCTGCCTACCCTGACAGCACGTCCTGTTGCGGTCACATTACACGACTCCTGTGACACCCCATTTTCACTACACGTCCTACCTTCTCTTTCTATATTCTCCGCTTCCTGTTAAACCTTTCATAAAGCCCCAGACCGAGGGGCACAGGGGAGTGTGAGGCTGCAGAGCGCAAAGAAAAGCGTTTCCTACGAGTATAACTCCCTCTGTCCAGACCCTAGCTCATCAGTGGTGTTTATCGTCAGTAACACTTCAGACATTAGAAGAATCAGTCTTTATTTAATCACCAGAACACACACACACATTGTAACTTCCCTGCCTCCGATCGCTTTGCTCCCCACACTTTTCATTCTCATTCATGTCATTTCTCGGCGCTCGTACGCTCGATGCTTAGAAGTGTGTGTGTGTGGTCACTTGTGTCCCCGGTTCGCGCACACGCACGTGCCACATATGTTACTATCCTGCCCTGACCCTCGCTCTCAGTGTGGTGCTATTGCAATAACACTTCAGACGACTTCAACGAACAGTCTCAATTATCGCACAGAACACACACATAAACATAAAACACACACACACACACACACACTTATCATCCTCTGGTTGCTTTGGCATCCGGTCGCCATGCCTATGAGAGGAGCGGCATCCGTGTCCGCGGCGCCGCTCAACCATGTCTCCGCGGCGCGCTCGCCTGTGTCCGCGGTCGCGCCCGCACGCACCACACACACACACTTCTCCCACCAGCTGCAATTTTGGGGAACAGACAATATCCTCACACTTGTTCACGTTGCTCTGAGCAAACTGCACGTTGCAGCTGGAGCCTGTTAAGGCTGCAGTAGCAAAATGTAAACCAAAGAGAAGCGGAAAAGCAGCTCGGACAAGGTGGGTAGTCGCTGAAGTTGTTATTAGCGCCACCCATAGCTGACCGGCGTTGACTACAGCCTGAGGCACGTTTGTAATACAATTCCTGTGACCCATACCCTACAACTTTATACTCATGCACCGTGTCTGCAGCACCACGCAGTACTTTATACTCATGCACTGTGTCTGCAGTAATATGCAGTACTTTATACTCACGCACCGTGTCTGCAGCAACACGCAGTACTTTATACTTATGCACCGTGTCTGCAGCAACACGCAGTACTTTATACTCATGCACCGTGTCTGCAGCACCACGCAGTACTTTATACTCATGCACCGTGTCTGCAGCAACACGCAGTACTTTATACTCATGCACCGTGTCTGCAGCAACACGCAGTACTTTATACTCACGCACCGTGTCTGCAGCACCACGCAGTATTTTATACTCATGCACCGTGTCTGCAGCAACACGCAGTACTTTATACTCATGCACCGTGTCTGCAGCAACACGCTCTACTCAGTACTTTATTATTACAGCTTTCATCTTCTCTGCTCTTACAACAGCAATGTAGGACTAGGTCTAAGATAAGTTTATCTGCTAGTGAGTCCAGGAGCCTCTACAGGCTGATAGTGAGTCCAGGGGCTTCTACAGGCTGCTAGTGAGTCCAGGGGCCTCTACAGGCTGCTAGTGAGTCCAGGGGCCTCTACAGGCTGATAGTGAGTCCAGGGGCCTCTACAGGCTGATAGTGAGTCTAGGGGCCTCTACAGGCTGATAGTGAGTCCAGGGGCCTCTACAGGCTGCTAGTGAGTCCAGGGGCCTCTACAGGCTGCTAGTGAGTCCAGGGGCCTCATTCTACAGGCTGCTAGTGAGTCCAGCGGCTTCTACAGGCTGATAGTGAGTCCAGGGGCCTCTACAGGCTGCTAGTGAGTCCAGGGGACTCATTCTACAGGCTGCTAGTAAGTCCAGGGGTCTCCAGGGGCCCGCCAGGCTGCAGAGAGGTGTCCGTACCCTTCATGATGGCCTGCAGAGATGCCACCTCCTCCTGCCACTGGCTGCGCACCTGGTCGATGGCCTCCTGCTTGGTGTTTTCTGACACTGTGGCCACAGCTTTGATGGTCTCCATCTCAGCTCTGGCCTGCTCCAGCTGAGCCTGCAGCGACGAAAGCTCCAGCTGCGAGGCCTCCAGAGCCAAGGTCTGTCTCTTCAGCTCCTCTAAACACACAAAGGTCTGTATGTATGTATGTATACTGAGACATGTATACTGAGACATGTATACAAACTCATGTATGCAGAGTCATGTATACTGAGACAGTACCTTCCTTGTTCATGTAGAGGTCCTTGAACTTTGCTCTCTTCTGGTTAAACTCGGCCTCCAGCTGCTGTTTGAGGCGCAGCATCTCAGCCCCATCCTGCTCTGGTGTCTCTGCATGAGGAAGAGGAGCGAGAGGAAGAGGAGGAGAAAGAGGGAGAGGAGGGAGAGAAAGAGGGCGAAGAGGAAGAGGGAGAGGAGGGAGAGGAAGAGGAAGAGGGAGAGCAAGAGCAAGAGGAAGAGGAAGAGGGAGAGGAAGAGGGAGAGCAAGAGCAAGAGGAAGAGGAAGAAGGAGAGGAAGAGGGCGAAGGGGAAGAGGGAGAGGAGGGAGAGGGAGAGGAAGAGGGAGAGGAAGAAGAAAAGGAAGAGGGAGAGGAAGAGGAGACACAGTCAGAGTCTTCATCGCATCTTGCTGGAGCCACATGGATCAGTAAGGCTCCTGGTCTGTTTGCCTTAAAGAAGATCTGTCCATAAAAGTCTGAGGATAACTAAAGCATAACAAGTTAGAAAAACAGTCTTTAGACAGAAGTGGTGATGTGTCTGAGACCTGAAAACAGAAATTCCACCACCATTACATGGGTCCAGTATTTTTCATTTCACACACACGAACAGTACAAACTCTTTAAAGATGAGACCCAGGTCTGACTCTACAGAAGTGTGTGTGTCTGTGCGTGTGCGTGTCTTTGTTTATAAATAATTCAAGATAAAGAATAGTTTATAGAGTATTTCACAGTCACAAAGTATTGTATAAAACATTTCCAACTCTTTCAGATCCACTTTACTCCAGTGTTTCCTTCAGTTTGAGCAGCAGTGGAAACTCTGTCATGTGGCATCAATAATCAGCAGGAAACAGGACTCTGTATTATGTACACGCCACAGAATGTTCTAACGTTCTAACACACTTAGACACATTTATGTAGGATCACAACATGAAAAACAGGCGGGCGGGCGGACTGACGGATGGATGGATGGGTGGATGGATGGGATAATGGGATGGGTTGATGGATGGGATAATGGGATGGGTAGATGGATGGGTGGGTGGATGGATGGATGGATGGATGGATGGATGGATGGATGGATGGGTGGGTGGATGGATGGGATAATGGGATGGGTAGATGGATGGGTGGGTGGATGGATGGGTGGACGGGTGGATGGGTGGGTGGATGGATGGATGGACGGGTGGATGGGTGGATGGATGAATGGATGGGTGAGTGGATGGATGGATGGTATAGGTGCAACGGTTCATCACTGATCCGTTCGTAACAACGTCTTCGGTTCGGTACAGACGTGATCCGCGGTTTGATTTATGAAAAAAAAGTTGTGCGCATGTTGTTCAGTCCACACACAGCGTAATCATGGTGAACGGAGATGCTTGAAAGCCCCGCGTCATTTAAGTCCCCTGTATGAGAGCATTTTGGCTTCACTGTAACTATACTGATGATTAAATAGTCGACAAAACTGTCACGATGTGTAAACACTGTGGTACAAAAAAGACATTGAAAAGCGTCTCAACGACCGCTTATTGCCGTGGCGTTTAAGCAGCTGCTTTATGCCCAGTCAGACCGGGCTAAAGTCAACTCTCCCGCGCATCCTCAGTTGCGCTCACGACTGACGCTTGGACGTCCCGCGGAACCTATAATAGATCCATGAGCGGAACGGAGAGCTATGTTACGATAACCGCTCACTTCATGACCGCAGACTGGGAGATGAGAAGTCCGGTGCTCAGGTTCTGACACAAGCAGTGGAGGAATGGAAGACAAAGGCCCAGTACTAATATCCCAGTCACAATTGATAATGCCAAAAATTAAATAAATGCAGTGAATGAGGCTGGACTGGGCCCAGAATGGACCGCCTCCTTGGGAGAATCAGGAAGGTGGTTTAAAATATGAGGATAAATACCCTCATAAAGTGCCTTCTTATGTTGTACTTTGTGTTGTTTTTCAATATTTATGTTAAAAAGACATAATTGGATGGATGGAATATGCCTTCCATCCATCCATCCATTTCCTTCCCCTTAATCCATTTCTAGGTCAGGGGGGGCAGTCAGAGCAAGTGCCGAGTCCACATGAGCCGTGTTTATTAAAAAGACCAAACTCTTTTTTTTTTTTAAATGAACGAACCGTGGCCTCTGACCTGAGGTACAATCCGAACCGTGATTTTTTCAAACCGTTGCACCCATAATGGATGGGTATTGGTTTAGTGCTTAGGGCTTTCAGTTGATCTAATAAAAGCGCAGATTCAAACCCATGATGTCGGAGTTTTGACTTTGACGTTAGCTGCAGATCAGAGAAATACAACTGTAACACATTCATCACTGATAGCTGTGAGGGTCTTTCTCTCTCTCTCTGGTTTTGTTTTTATCTGAAAACCGCAGAATCTGACTCTGACATAATCATCAGTCTTCGTCCTCACAGTGATGTTACCGGGTCCAAACCAGGACTGATGAGCTGCACATGACCCAGGTTAAACATTGACCATCTGTCAGGCTCAGAGAGAGAAGCCCAGAGAATCCAGACCAGACCAGGACCAGGTGAGAGTGAACCAAAAAGCAGACGAATAAGCCGTAAAGCTGAGGTCCTAATCTTCAACCCCAAAATACTGAGCTATAATAAAATGTAAGCAGTAGTTCCTGGGTCTACAGAGTTCTCACTGGGTTTCACATTTAGGATTTGGCCTCTGATGTCGGTCACTTTGGGTCTCGGTCTCTCCAAAGGACACGTTTTAAAAGGACTCTTTCTGTTGGACAAACGTGTTATGAATAAGTTTATGTAACTCTCAATCGAACAGGGATGATTCAAAACAAAGGAAGGTTGCTGCGTTATAAATTAAACTAAAAAGTTAGGAACCCCAGCTTTATGGATGTTGAATCAACAGCGAGTCCAAACCAGGTCCTGGATCGACCCCTAAAGACTGGAAACCGTGTCCACGCTCAGATCCTCAAACACTACAGTTTGTCTTCTCTCAAAATTTCCATCGATTTCCATAAAGACATTATCAAGTAAGTAAGTAGTAGTAATCTTTATTTATATACCGCCTTTCACTGACCAGAGTCACAAAACGGTTTACAATTGTTATTTTTTGGGCTCCTCTCACTCCACACAGAGATGGGAGCGGGGTCGCCGAACAGGAGGCGCATGCCAGACCTATTGTACATATTTTTAGTGGTAGGGGAAACCGGAGTACCCGGAGGAAACCTACGCAGACACGGGGAGAACATGCAAACTCCTCTCAGAAAGGCCCTGGTCCGACCGGGATTCAACCCCAGAACCTTCTTGCTGAGAGGCGAGAGTGCTATCCACTCAGCCACCGTGCCGCCCTTCATCAATATGAATATGTTCTGTTAACATAGAAATAAATAGTCTTTGGAATCGGCAAATACAGCCATGATAAACTAGCATTAGCATCACAGAAAACCCATAAAGGTCCATCTCTAGAGAGAATATTGAATTTATATGGTCATATTTAAATTCATGCTTATTCAAGTACTTATTGCTTCTTTGTTACATCCTCTACAACTGTCCGATAAATATCCTGTTCAAAAGATTAGATTTGTATTTGACAGTTTGTAGCTGATAATTTTTATTGGACTTTGTGTAATGAGAAAAGTCCCACTGAGATTTCACAGAGAGAGGGGACGATTGTACATGTTTAGAGTGAATGGAGAAACCGGAGCACCTGGAGGAAGCCTGCACAGACACAGGGATAACATGCTTATTGCTCTAACCACTGTCAGATACATCCTTTGTTTAGACTCACAAGCTACTAGCTAATGAAGGATGCTAGGTTCCCAGGACTCGCAAGCTAATGAAGGATGCCAGGTTCCACACAGGCCAAAACAACATATAATAATAACAAAAAACATAACAACCAATGCACTGCAGCTGGGGCGACACAGTGAATGACAGTTCCATTTATTTATTTATATCAAACAGCCATACATAGAACATGGAAACAAGGATGATTAATGCTGTGTGTTTTATAGTTAAATGTGACAGAAATACATGTTTAATGCTGTGTTTATTATAGTTAAATTTGAGTTATAGATGCTCTGAGTCAAATAGATGCAAGAGTTAAGTTTCCACAGTCTTCCTTCATAACCAGGACTGACTCACAGCCCGAGCATCACATAAGTCACCCGGGTCTAGACTGGGACCAAACTGGGATCAAACTGGGGTCTGGAGCAGGTCTGGAGCAGGTCAAAACCAGGTATAAACCAGGTCTAAGCTAGGTCTAAGCCAGGTCTAAGCCAGGTCTAAACCAGGTCTAAACCAGGTCTAAACCAGGTCTAAACCAGGTCTAAACCAGGTCTAAACCAGGTCTAAACCAGGTCTAACCCTGGACTAAACCAAATCTAAGACAGGTCAAAACCAGGTCTAAGCCAGGTCTAAGCCAGGTCTAAGCCAGGTCTAAGCCAGGTCTAAGCCAGGTCTAAGCCAGGTCTAAGCCAAGTCCAACCCAGGTCTTAAACTAGGTCTAACCCAGGTCTAACCTAGGTCTAAACCAGGTCCAACATAGGTCTAACATAGGTCTAACCCAGGACGAACCCAGTGTGATGCTGACAGGCAGTATGTTGCCAGGGCTTGGGGCTGACCCATATTTCCTGAGAACAGTCCTCATACACAAACTTCAGCGGATGTTTTCTAGAGCATCAAAGAAGACGCTAACCCCTGTAAAACCCGAGCCCGTGACAGATCTGACACGTCGCCCTGAGGATGCTAATGCTAACAGGGATGCTAATGCTAACGCCGCCTGTCACTGTCAGAGGCCCCCGGAGAGCTGGGGGTAAGAGGCCGTGGAGGAGTGGTGCTTTACCGGCATGGGGGCTCTGCAGGGGGGGTCCCGAAGCCTCCTCGGACATGGTTTTCCACAGGGACCGTGAGCTAAGAGCGTGCTAACAGGCTAACAACATCACAGCTACGGGAAAGCTGCGGGTAAGCTAGCGCTGCGGAAGGCGCTGCTTCCGCTGGGCCCTTCAGAATAAACGGGTTTCAAATTTAGACAGGAACCTATTCACACAACAAGTGGAATCAGACCAAGTTGCATATATTAATTGAATGAAAAAACGTGTTGAGACCAGTCTCACCCAAGTCTCATAGCACCAGTCCTGCGCTGATCCTCCTGCAGGTGGTGGGTCCACAGGAAGATGGCTTCTCTGTCATCAATGTTCCAAAGACCAGTGCTCTACCAACTGAGCTACTGTTGCCCCCTAAAAATAAAAGTCTAATATAATGAAAAAAACACGCACAAGGCCATTTCCTAACATGATGGGCAACACGGGCTGGTGTGTCAGAACGACTCGGCATTCAGCCTTCCCTCCTTCTAGTTCTTTCCTTCCTGCTGCTGTCAGACTGTACAACGAACATTGAGGACTAATGAACACTGCCGACCTGACCTCACATGTCGTGCATCTGTGCAATAATTTGAAAGAAAGTCACCACATGTGTCACCATTGTCTTCTTTATAATGCTAAAGATAGATTTTATACTAGCTTCTTTATTATGCTAAAGTTGGTAAGTTTGGCAGTAGCGTAATGCTTTAATTCAGAGACAGTAATATTATAGTTACTTTGAAATAACAGTAACAAGTAACACATGATGTTTCATGTTTTTGAAGTAACTTGAAGAGAGATATTTTTGCAGAATTAAAGCTAAAATTGGACAGAAAAGATTACTGTAGGATGATGGAAGGTAATAATGATCACAAAAAGAATTGTTACAACTTCATCCCAGACTGGTTCATTTTAGTCCCTCTTTTCGAGTTGATACTTAGTTATTTAAAATAAATGTATATTGTAAATCTAAGTTATGTATTGAACTCGAAATAAAAACATTTAATTTCAAAGTGACTCATCGGACCAATGTTACTACGCCTCGCACATAAATGACGTGGTCTGACAACCCTCCCACGCTGAGGAGGTACTGCAGGTACTATTTTCAATGGAAAAGCACCCACACTCGGCTGTACTGTGCCGTGCTGTACCATGCCGTACCATACCGTGCCGTGTTGTGCCGTACTGTGACTATGGAAAAGCGGCATTAGTTCTCTTCAATGTGTGTCAGATCAGGATCTTTGTGTACATCTGCCACTCGCTGTGAAGACAGAGGCTCAGACTGAAGCATGGAGACAGTACTTTTAAAAGACTCAGTGAGAAATGCTCTGTATATAAGAACTTTAACACAAGAAGATCAGAGGAGACATAAAGACACGCTAAACATTAGTACATGAGACCGAACAAATCCAAAGTCCAGATGAGACCTGGGAGGACCACTAACGGCAGACTTGGCACCGACCGCTGGGAGACATTTATTCTTACTTCAGTGAAAAACCCGGGACCTTCACACAAGAAAAGTGGAAGTCCTTTTAACGTCTGGAGGCCTGTGATTTTCTGTTTCTATAAAAGTTGGGCCATTTTATTCTGTGAAACAGAAGTCTGTGATTGTGTCAGAGCAAGTCCAGTCACTGCGGAGTTACATCTGCCCTGGGGCTGACTACAAAAGAGAATAGATTAATCACTGCGTCAGTAAAACCATGTAATTTTATCTTTCTGTTGATCCTGAATCCAGACTTTCCTCTGAGCGTTCATCCTGAAGCCTGCAACCATTTCTCACGTTTTCGTTGTTCTTTACCCAAGGAATTCAAATCTTAATCTGGCCCCAGCCGTGAACCGACCACACGACAAGAGACAAGTCACGTGACCAGAGAAACTATAAACAATGTTGTCACTCCAAGACCCTTCTGCAGAGATCATGTATGTCATTATTATTATTATCATCAAATCATTATTAGATTGGTTTTCAACTATTACAGAGGGATAAGTTATGATACTAATAATAATAATATTAATAATATTAATAATCCATCCATCCATCCATCTTCTTCCCCTTAATCCATTTCTGGGTCGGGGGGTGGCAGTCAGAGCTGCACCCAATTCACTTAGCACCAGCCCCTCACTGATCCTCCTGCAGGTGGTGAGTCCACAGGAGGACGGCTGCTCTGTCAGTGACAATACGGCCTTGATTTTTCAGCGGGGGCTTCAGGCAATGCAGGGTTAAGTGTCTTGCCCAAGGACACAACGACAGCAGTCATCAGTGGGAGTCGGTGGAGAAGGTCCCGTGGTGGGCTTGAACCCACGACCTTCAGGCTCAAAGGCCAGTGCTCTACCAACTGAGCTACTGTCGCCCCCATTATTATTATTATTAATAATAATAATGATAATACTTATACAGCACCGTCAGACACTCAGACGCTTTAGAAAAGGATTCAGACTCGGTCCTCGGGGTTCAGACTCGGTCCTCGGGGTTCAGACTCGGTCCCCGGGGTTCAGACTCGGCCCTTGGGGCTCAGAATCGGCCCTCGGGGTTCAGACTCGGCCCTCGGGGTTCAGACTCGGCCCTCGGGGTTCAGACTCGGTCCCCGGGGTTCAGACTCGGCCCTCTGGGTTCAGACTCGGCCCTCGGGGTTCAGACTCGGTCCCCGGGGTTCAGACTCGGCCCCATGGGGTTCAGACTCGGCCCTCGGGGTTCAGACCATAGACTATATATTAACGGACAGAGTCACGCCTATCTCCGACGTTCTAACTAATGGGCCAAAAAATGTGCTCTACTGGAGCAATCCAAAATGGCCGCGAGTGGTCCCGCCCACAAGAAAATTTTGAAAATACGCATCTGCGCATGCGTCAGCCCGCGCAGCTCCATTCATTTGAACGAGAGACTTCAAAAATTCACAGCAAGTAAACTAGAGTGGACCTTAAAAATCCACCCCCCTCAGCATTGACA